CACGCGCAAGAAATTGTTCATATACATTGGGCTAAAGCAACAGGAAGCCGCAAGGACAAACAATCACACAAACACAAACACACTCACACTCACGTATATATAGACAGCCATGTGTGTGTGAATGGATAGGTTAGGATGCGTGCCGCAGTGCATAAAGCTGTCTATCTAAGACTATCTGCCTGTGTGTGTGTGTGTGTGCTCGTGACTTTGTTCGTTGGGATATGGGATGCTGAGCTCGTATTAAAAGCCCATAAAAAGTAACGTTTAAAAACCAGCGTGGAAAGGAGCATCGCGACGCGCAAATAAACAAATTAATAAAAGCCAAATAAAAAAAAAAAATACACAAAAGCCCAAAAACAAAAGCACGACAAACAGAACTGAAGAAAAACACGAGTCATAAATTAAATAGAAACAACGAAAATTACTTACCCAAAAAGAGGCCGCCCAGCAACAAATGTGTCCCCTTTGCTTTGGCTGTCAATTTTTTGTAGCATACACACAGGCGCGCTTCAAAAGGAGTGGGCGCCGCTGCTGCAGGGGGCGTGGCGGGACGGTGAGCCGACTGGCTGCGGCATTGGGTGCCAGCACGAATAATCTACTAGCGATTTATTTGTTGCTGCCATCGCAGTCAACGTCGACATCGCAGCCATAGCCGCTGCTATTTTTGTTACTTCTTTTTCATATTTTTACTTACTTTCAACTAATGCCAAACGACGCTGTGGCAATGGGCCATAAAGCAACTGCTGCTGCTGCTGTCGCTGCTGTCTCTGCTGCTGCTGCCTTTGCTGATGCTTTCGGTATTCGGCTTTTCTAGCTCGTCACCATCAGCGTCGGCGTCGGCGTCGGCGTTGACGTTGGCGTCGTCGTCGTCGTCCTCATCGGCGCCGTCGTCGTCCTCGTCGTTCTCGTCGGCGTCGTCATTGTCGCTGCTCGTGTGGCACAGTCGTGCGTTATCCTTTGCTCCTATCGGTTGTGCACGGTTGCGCTTGGCCGTAGCCTGGTGCGCCTACTACTCGCCAATTTGCTGACTTGGACGCGCGACACGTCCAGCGCGCACACCTGTGCGCGCCTCTAGCTGCTGTTGCTCCGCCAGCTACTCACACGGCACAAGACATTTTTAATTTGCACCCAAACTGCTCGCAGCTCGAAGTTATCTGCACCGAATTTGGCACGCGCGAAGTTTCAGTGTTGTTGTGTGTTGCCCTCTGCCCTCTGCCCTCTGCCCACGGACTCTGCTGCTTCTGTTGCTGCTGCCGCTGCTGCTGCTGCTGCTGTGTCGAGTGTTTTTTTGCATGAAGGAAGGGGCAGAAAAACACAAAAAATCTCAGCTAAGTGTTTTACAACTTGAAGGCATTAAGTTGCCCCGTTCGGTGTCCTGCGGCCACGCTACAAATCTTGGTAAGCATTTCAGTGTTCTTCTTCTTCTGGCCCAGAGCCCTTTAATTGTTGAAAACTTTTTGGTTTCAAATGTTCATTGTTTACATGAAATATTAAGCGTTTATTAAACACTTGATACACAAAACGCGGCGTGTAAGCACTTAAAGAAGTTTTCGCTGTGCGGTTTGATGGCTCGCAAATACATATCTAAATATATATGTATATATATTGTTTGTATGTATATAGATTGCAGCCTAATCTTAAAATCTATTTTGGTGCTCTCTACTCAAGTATGTGGTTAGGATTTGTGAAATTCATCCCTCGAGCTAACGATTTGCTGCCTTTAAGGAACTTCCGAAGCATTCGAGCTGACTTCCACGAGGCGTCACCTTGTGGCACCTGCTTGCTACCTTGCGGCGACGACAGCATTAACATGTTCCCTTGCTAAGCGCCTGGTGCTCGGTGCGTGGGTGTAGGCCGCTATCCACGCTCTGTCTCTCCACTTTCAAAGCAGTTCCGTTCATTGTGCCGCTCCTGTTGTTCTTTCTCATTTCCACCAATAAATTTTAATAGTTTTCCCATGCTTTAAATGACCCGCAAACATAATGTCAGTCTCTCTGGCTCTCTCTTTATCTCTCTCTCTCTCTTTCTATTTGTGTCTGTGTGTCTGTCTGTCTACATTATTTGCTCTGTGTACTGTCTGCTTTGAAGCTTGCCCACTTTAGCTGTCAGTAAATTTATTTTGTGGCCGGTGCCTAAAAATAGCACACGCCATGCACTTATCCTTGAAATGGAATGGAAATTTAAAAATAAAGCATATCCAATTCAAAATGCCCAAAATAGACACGTGTAACCACACTTACATACATACATATATAGGTCACAGAGCGCAATCAAAGGAACAGATAAGGCGGAGAACATGAATTAAATTTGATAACTTTGTTTACTTTCACGAATCATTTTTGTAATGATTAAAGTTTATTATATATAAAGTTGATTTAATGGAGATCTGTTTTCCATTTTATTATGTAAATAAAAATATTAAATTGTCAACAAATTACTATGATTTTATTAATTTTGTAGGTAGCGAAATTTATATAAATATTATTTAAAAAAATTAATAATAAAAACTGTATAGAAAATATTCATAGTAAATTTTAAGGAATTAAAGCTAGAAATACAGACAGTTGAGGATGAGAAGAGAATAATTTAGACTAAGAGCCATTCTAATATATTTATTAATGAACAATTAATTATGTTTTACACTTAAAATGAAGAGCCTCACTTTGAACGCAGTTGAGCTCCTGCTGTGGTCACTTAAAAATATTGAAAAAAAGTACTTGTGTCTACTGGAAAATATTTATTTACATATAATTAATTTTAATAATTTGCCTACGCAAAAAAATGTATTTAAAAATATATTTATAATTAATGTGGGCTCTTTACTGAAATCGCTGAACGCAGTTAAAAAACACAAATATTTATACACATATATAACGAGACACATAATATA